AGTTATATTAAGATATACTTTACTTAATATAAAAAAATTATAAATATTAATTATATATTGTATGACTTTTATTAGAAATAATTATTAACTTTCATTTTTTGTGTATCAACATTTTTGCACCGGACCATATTAAATAATAATAATGTCAACAACAATAATAACGATAATATCAGCAGCAGCAGCAACAATGACAACGATAATAGTAAGATCAACAATAATGATGATAACAACAATGAAACTGAAAATAATTCAATTTTAATACAATTAATTAACACTACACGGGAGGCTTTAAATTTACTTGAAGAACAAGAGTCTTATGGTAATGAAAAATGGGGAAATAGTTGAAAAAAATTTCCGGGGAATCGAAAATATGGTCGAGGATATTAAAAAATATAAACGGCAAAACACAATGCCAAAAACATATGGAGATTACAATCACAATACATATATTGGAAATAACGATAACGATAAATCAGAATGTTAGCAAAAACTATGAGATCTTTCCAACTTAAGATCGCACAAGGAGGAATGGGAAAGACTTGATGTCTCTGTTTTTGAAGAGGTTATCCAAGGAGGATTGATGCAGTATTAAAGACAAATGGAGGGCCGACAAAATATTAATTAAGTTTTTTATTTAATGTATAAATTGCTAGAAATAAAATAAATCAGAATTTTAATTTTTGATTTTGAATCGGGCATTACTTTTTTGGAGGTACTGTTCATTGCGTGCTCCGTGAAAAATGTTAACGATACGTAATTATTTAGTATATGCGGGGCATTTATCGTTATTGAATCTGGAACAAAGTTTAATAAAATGCCGGATAGTACAAACAAATAAGAATGCGTATTTACCATAAAAATGAATCAATATGGATGTATGCGCCGCAAATTCTTTATCAGTTCGGCAAAACAAATCTGACACCAAGAAAATGAAAAATGTGAAAAATACAGGAAACGCATGCTTAAATCTAGTTTGAAGTACTAATAAAAATGTCGGGAAGACAGTTTTACATATAATTTTAACCTCAAACTCTACTTTAACCTTTAAAAATCAACCTTTAACATTGTGTTATCGATCTACAAACTTGTCCCAGAAATCGGTGAAAAGGTAAATATCCATGACCTCGATGCTGATCATATTCCGACCCTCCGATCCAACCACCATGACATTTTTTCTGGAAGTCAATAATTCAGTGTTGTACATTTTGGATGTCCGCGACTTTTTTGAGATGTCCGCGTCCGCTCCGCGGACGTCCGTACTCTCGTGTTATATATAAATATATATCGAAACTTTGTAGATATATGCAAAAATCAATTCTGAACAACTTTAATTAGAAGTTCAAGACAACTTGTCTTAATAAAATTTCGCGTAATTCGACATCAAAGTTGGTTACACAATGTCCGAAATCTGTCCACGATGTCCCATGTACAACACTACCCACAATTAATTTTAGTGAGACAAATTGTGGTTTGCTTCGATCACAAATGTTCCTGAATCACATCAATCTATTTTTTTATATAGAAAAATGTACATGTGTAAACTCGCATATCAATATTTACAAAATAACCCCTTTATCGTTATCATTATCGTTATGTTCTGGAAATCCACACAACCTTTGTTACCTATGTGATGTATACGTGATATCCATGCAAAAACCTTCGTATTCGATGTACCCTCGATTTTTTATTCTTATAAAGAAGTACTTTGCACTATTCCAAAAATTCTATCGCAATCAATTAAAACCAAAATTATAGCGATAGTCCAATTAAAAAAAATGCATACGAAACTTTCTGTAATCTTTTTGCTTATCTTTACTATTCTCCTTCTGAATTCGACGCAAGCAGATGAATTCAAACCACCCACCATTCAAGATGCTGCTAATAAATACAAAATAAATGAACCGAAGGCGCATCAAGTGTATTATAACGCACAAAAGAAAATTACGCTTGATTACACTTTTGAAGACAAACTGCCAAACGAAATCTTCTTATTGGATATTTATCTGCTGAATAAGAAAGGGAAAAAGATCAAGACTTTTGTAAAGAATGCTAATACAACTGCCGGTAATCACCGTTTTACACGAAAATTCCCGGAAAATTTGCATAGCGGCAATTATACTGTTAGATTCAATGAGGTTGGTTTGTTATCATTATATATTTAATAAATTTTAGCGGTTTTTACTAATAAAGATAATGATTGATTCAATAGACCAAAAATACCGGCATTTACTGGAGTACTGCATATTTACTAACTGACATTCCAATAAAATATCTATGTAAATAAATATAGTCAAATATACAAGAAGAGTAACGTAGTACAATCTTTGATTATTATACTCACATGTATGTTTGTACTTGCACGTATGAATATTGACCAGTTAATAGGAGTGCGAATTTTTTTCAATAACCAATAAGAATTCACAAACTTTGATCAACCCGGTAAAACAAATCCGACTCAAAGCGATGAAAAAAGTGATATTACAAGAAAACTGAAAGGCAATTTTACATATAATCTTGTTTCCTCACCCAATACCCAGTGTTGTCACTTGGACATAAATCCAGCAATTTGATTGGTTGGGACAAGTGTCCTGACCAATCAAATTGCTGGATTTATGTCCAAGTGACAACACTGGCCCAATACCTTACCCTTACCATGACTAATCGGATGTAATGAAATTTGAAATTTGGTTCAGTAAAACTGGTCAACATAGGATAAAACATATATTAGTACATGTACTACAGCTACATAACGATAATACTCAATTTCTATTATACATATATGTATGTCATACGCTCTTCTATTTTGTTAACCTACTCCTTGTTTACACAATACCGATGTACTGGTATATGTATCGGTATACGTATACGTAATATACTGTCAAAATCAAAAGTAACCCCCCCCCCAATAACTTTCCAAAAATCATGTGTAATGTTATGAAAATTTCCGGATACAAACATTACAAATGCCTTTTAATAGATTGGTAGAGCTTCTATAACGGGTATTGTTTGTATATAATAAATCGGTCACCTTAGAACATAATATCTCGATATTCAGCGATCCAATTTGAGCAAAAATACTACCATTCGATTTGCCGAATCTAGAGAACGGTTAAAGCGTAGTCAATCACGTGATATATTTTAAAATATTAAAAGGTAATTTTAACGTTAGGATTAGGATTGGGAAGGAGATCAAGATTAGATTGAATTGTCTTCCCGACATTTTTAATTAGTGTTCCAAGAAAGATTTAAGTATTTGTTTTCCGTATTTTTTCATTTTTTGTCTTTGCTTCAAATTTGTTTTGCCAAATTGATTAAAAATTTATGCATCCTCATTGATTTGTTTTTCAGACAGATTATTGAATGGACTACACTTTAACCGATCTCTCTTTTATAGATTGGTAGAGCTTCTAAACTTTTATATAATCAATTATTTTATAACACATATATTAATATTTAATAATCTAATTATTGATATTGTTACCATTCTTATATTGATAGGCAAAGTATTAACTAATTATAATAATTAATTAAGAATTGTATAAGAGTGCTAATAGTGACTGTGTGTACTTGAGAGAGTTGAATACTAGATGGTTGGAAGAGAGTATTAAAAAGAAATAGATTCTGATACTTTCACTAATTGGATAAGTATTTTATAATTCAAAAGTGTGAATGATTTATTAAAATACAAAAAATGACTTTCACTAGTTGGATAAGTCAAAGTTAAGTAAATAATAAATCAAAAATAATAATAAGCAAAAGATTATTAATTAACTTCTATACTTTTATTATTTTCAAAATTACTACTGAGATTCCTGTTATTTTATGTTAAATTACATCTGTTTAAATACATGTAAATGTAATACAGATCTACATGATGAGTGATGTTACTTAAAAATAGTTATAAGATAAATTTGAAATAAGTATAATGTTAAGAAATGATAAGTGTAATATTAATTTAATCTAAGCGATACAATTAAAATTAGAATGACATTAGCACTATATTAATTAATGTTAAATAAAATTAATTTAAAATAGAATAGATTTAAATCCAATAATATTATAATAAAATAAATAATGTGATATTAAAAAGAATTGATTGGTATTTTTGATAAATTATGTGTAAATTAGATAAATTAAATAATTAAAAATAGAATTATAAATAGAAAAATATAAAAGAAAATATAAATGATTATCAAAATTATATCACATAATATTTTACATATGATTCAAAATATTAAATGATAACAATATTCAATTATCTGATTTGAACAAAAATACTATCATTCAATTTACTTATTATTATTATAATTTATGAGTTCTTGAAAGAGCTGGAGAATGCTTAATAATGTTATAATAAGTTACTTGATCAAAATAATTATAGTAAAATTTATTAAGAATTATAAATGGAAAAATATAATATAATCAAATCTATATAATGCATTAAGCATTAAATTATAATTATTAATGAATCTAAAGGGAGATAACAGTGTATTTATGATGTGATCAGCTAAAATGAGACCTGGAATTTTTAATAATAATATTTAATTTTAATTAAAGGATTTTATATAATAAATATATAATTTCATTATAAAATCATAATTCAATAATAATAAAATATAATTTTATTATTAAACAAATTTATTATATTTTATTTATTATTTTTGAGATTCTGAGATCTATTGAATCTATTTAAATTACTAGCTAAGATACATTGCTTTTATAATATTTAATGATTTTATAAAAATTACTTTTGCTATGATACTATTGTTACTTTTACTAAGATTTAATTACTTACTTTACTAGTATCATATTATTGTTTTTGCTATGATCAAATTGCTGGTTTAGCTAGAATTCAATTGCTAGTTTAGCTATACTCATATTACTTGTTTAATCATCTAAAAATATCTACAAATAATATTTCATATAGCTAATATTCAATAAAATATGAATATAAAATTAATCAATAGAATATTATTCAATTAAATTTATGATATAAATTAATTAATAAAATAAAAACTAAATATTCATATTATAATACTATGATGCATAATATTTAAAGTTATCAAATATTTGTATTTTATAAAATATATAAATTTCTTTACTAAAAAGTAAATATCAAATTTAATCTGTAAATATGCTCAAAAAAGATTTATTCTATCATATTCACAGATTAAATTTTATATTTACTTTTTAATAAAGATATTTATATATTTTATAAAATATAAATGTTTAATGATTTTAGATGTTATGTACTATAATCAGAATAAATTAATAATAATATTAAGTATTCTAATTATAACAAAATAAAAGATTAGATCATATACTGTTATGATATGAATATTTAGTTCTTATTTTATTGATTAATTAATATCATAAATTTAATTGGATAATATTCTATTATATTTTATTGGTTAATTTTATATTCATATTTTATTGGATAGTTATTTTTAGATAGTGATCACTTCAAATGATCACTTTGAATGATCATTCCAAATGATCATTCCAACTGATCATTTCAAGTGCTCTAAATGATCATTTTATAATTATCAAATACTTATAAATACAGCTTGTATCTTAGCTTAGATTCAATAGCAGAAGCA